GACAGGGACACCCTCCACTAGACCACGTTGCCCAAAGCCCCATCCAGCCTGGCCTTGAACACTTCCAGGGAGGGGGCATCCAGAGCTTCTCTGGGCAACCTGTCCTAGTGCCTCACCACCCTCACAATAAAGAATTTCTTCCTAATATCTAATCTAAATCTACCTTCCTTCAGCTTAAAGCCATTACCCCATGTCCTGTCACTACATGCCCTTGTAAAAAGTCCCTCTCCAGATTTCTCGTAGGCCCTCTTTAAGTACTGGAAGGCTGCTATAAGGTCTCCCCGGAGCTTTCTTTCTCCAAACTGAACAACCCCAACTCTCTCAGCGTGTCTTCATAGGAGAGGTGCTCCAGCCCTCTGATCATCTTTGTGGTCCTCCTCTGGACTCGCTCCAACAGGTCCAAGTCTTTCTTGTACTGGGCTCCCCAGAGCTGGATGCAGTACTCCAGGTGGGCAAAATCACCTCCCTCAACCTGCTGGTCACACTTCTTTTGATGTAGCCCAGGATACACTTGGCTTTCTGGGCTGCAAGTGCACACAGCTGGATCATGTTGAGCTTCTCATCCACCAACACTCCCAAATCCTTCTCCTCAGGGCTGCTCTCAATCCATTCTGTGCCCACCCTCTATTTGTGCTTGATATTTCAGATTATAGAATTAAGTAAGAGCAAACACCTGGAAGCAGCCAGACAGTAAGAAATACATTGCAAACTGTGCTCTACTTCAGCCACAGCAGCTGGTTTGCATCCCATAACACACACAATTTGGCATCTTTACTTCCTTTCTCAACCTTCATGCATTTACACTCTGCGAAACCAAACCCTAGAATACTGCATTTCAGTGACGTAAATCCTTACTAATCCACTTGATTTAGTTTATGTTGGCCTGATCCTGCAGACTCATTGTTTTCAGGTATTACTGTAGTACAAAAGGGTCACTTCTATAATCAGCGATGAAAAAGTGAGCTGCACTCTCATATACTAATTAGGCCAGTGACTGCCTGTCCTTTTTTGAACGCTAAAATGTAGACACTAGGACTTTCCTCCATAACACTGTATTTCCATAACACTGTATTCACTGTAATAAAAATATCTGGAAGAAATTTATAATACTCACCAAAACCACCTCATAGTCAAAGAAGAAAAACTCCTTTTTAGTGAGACTGAATATCATCTTGGGCTGCAGCAAATGCAATTAAGTAAGATATATATATATATATGTTCTGCTTCAGAAAGCAGCAGCAACAGAGATAATACAGTAAGACTAAATGGCAAGAATTTACAAGGAATAGGAATAACCATGATGTAGCAAAAGTTTACCCTGAAAGACAGGTGTGCTCAGAAATGGATTCACAGTTTTTTCCTCCAGACACATAGACTGGGACTCCCTTCAGGCATGCACACCACATTTCCTATGGAAAGCAGAATACAATGACAGCAAGGCACAGAGAGAAAACATCTTACACTCAAGTCTTATTCCAAGAAGAAGTCAGGAGCTTCTACACATATCTACCCAACAAATTAGCCTGTTCTGCTAGTGGTGCCATTATTCAAGAATATCAAAGCAAAATTTGAGAGATCCCACAAAAATATCTGTCTTACTGAATTTTACTGTTTGGGTACTACTGCATTCAGATCAATTACTTTTAATTGCAATTGTGTCTCAGGAACACTCAGCTTTAATTATGAGCTTGATCAGTTAGATTGACTGGTGCTGCATAAACCTGGAACAAAGAGAGGACTATTACTCACTTCTCTCATCTGCCTTTTCTCAGCTAATCTTATACAATGAAATAATTTACTTGTTTTCATTTTTATTCCTGTAAAACTCATTTCAGCAGTGCATGGGTAAGTTTACTTTTTTCATCTAGATGAGTAAGGCAAATGGATTTTAGTGGAGACCTTTGTTGCAGCATTTAATCATTTTCATTTTGCAAATGTAGACCTCAGTACTGCAAATAAACATGTATGAAAGAGCTGTATAGTGCCATTGAATCCAGGCACTGGCATCAAAATTTTAAAGTTATTCACATAATTCTAATGCTGTAAGCTTTTATGATTGGCAATTCTAGAATCCTAAATATAAGAAATAACACTCTGCCTCTGAGGCTTCAAAATTTTCATTACCAAAACTCCCTACACTTCTGCTTGCTGCGCACTTAGCACCCTCACCCCCCATTGATGGCACTAAGCAATTTGGTGCCTTAGCCATAGCAGGAGCGTAAGTCTCTACTTCGTGGCTGAGACTGAAATTTAAGGTAATTTCAAAATCTGCCATGACATCTAACCATGCTGCTGGGGGCCCAGACTCTTCAATAAATTACATTAATCAGCACAGCTGCCAGAATTAGGCTGCTGAAGGACTGATTTTTAGGCTCATTGCATATATAACACTGTACGCCTAAACTGTAATAGTATATATACTACACTATGGTAACCACTGACTGTTTTAAAGGGTCATTTCTAGAGAAATGCCTTTTTCCCCTTATGCACAGTGTGCACAATACCACAAGCATTCTGAGTGTTAACCACTGTGCTATTCAGCAGGTCTTCTTCATAAAATTAGTTAAAAACCAAAAATATTTTCCTTTTTTGAGATATTAAGGAAGTTCAGTTGGCTCAATTAGTAGTGCTCTTCCCCTGAAAAAAAATTTAGCACAGAACAATGTGTGTTTTAGCCCTTTTGTGCATAGAATTGGGCCTTATATTTAATAGAAATTTAATTTAAGTTGATTTCATTTAATGTATCTAGTGGTAATATGATATATATTATACTAATTTAAATTTCTTTGGTATAACATAAACTCATCTCCATTAAGCTCCTCCATATTTTAAGACACATTTACTTTATAACTGTGATCTTGACTTACAAAACTGAAGTTACCGTATTGAATGCTAAAGCTATATCTGGGTATTTAAAATGCAAACATGATAAAAATTAATTGCTACATCAGCGTTTTGCATATAATCCTATTATATTGCACTATAGAAGAATTAGTGGGCAGCGTATATAATCAAAATTAAAAGTATGCATTAGACATGAATGAATCTGATTTAGTGAAATACATTTTGACACAGCAGTTGTTTTTTGTCAGTTCAATGAGTTTTAGTCAGGGCATATCACTTCTGGCCATAATCTACATGCTTCAAATGATAATCTGCTTTACATACAACTTTTTGTCTGAATTAATCCAAAGTTTGATAAGAGCTATACTTCTGATTTTTCATAGTTTATTGCATGTAATAGTGAATTTCAAGACTGTTTATGGAATGTCATTCATTCAGTAAGACAGAAAAATAATTGTTTCCTTGCACATTTAATATATGTTTGTAATGACTTGAGTAATGTCTGATCTCAATTAAATACTTATTTAAAAGGATATGGACTCATTTTTAGCATATTGATCCAGCCCCAACAAAATACCAAGTTAAACCAACAGTCAGGCTGAGTGCCTATGAATACCTTGTATAAAGGTACTCCCCAAAGGAAACATCAAGAATCTAGATACAAGGAGAGGTGTTGAAAACAGTTTAAAATTTATCAGCACTGATTCTTAGTTTATAGGTGCATTCAACATAGATCAGAAAGGATGAAATGTATCTCACATTTGAGGTCAGCATATCCGGGCATTACGACTGAATAGCACTGATAGATGTATTCAAAGAGTAATGAAGTCACTGAATATAACAGGGGAAAGATTTATGCCCACACACCAAAGAGGTTATTTCCTTCACTGGAACTCAAAATTTCAGTATTTGTGGGCGGACAGTTACTCTTAGACAGTTCTGAACAATATACTTTGAACAGTAATTTGTTACTGAAATGTTAAAAGATATTTCCAGTTATCAGTAGGTTATCCTCAACATCTCATTAGCATTGGACTAAAGCAGAAAGGAAATATTGCAAAGAAGCAAAATAGATGAATGAAAGCTATATAATTTAGATGTAAAAATTACTCCTTTTTCCTTCTGCTTCATGCTATTATATGTGGCTCAAGTGTATCCTTGTCATTCAAACTATTACAATAGAAGCTATATAGTTTGAGATTTCAATCTTAAAATCTCACTTTATCCAAATCTATTAGATTCTGAGAAAGTCTTAATGAAACTTGAATGAGAATAGGATGCTTTTTTTTTTTTTTTTTCAGTTGTCATAACCAAAAAAAATGTATTCAGAAAAAATTTAGAATAAAATGCCAGGGATATACTGGAAAGTTAATATATTGCATATTCAGAGGAAGTAGAGCTTTTTCCCCAATGATATCCCATGCATATATTCAACTGGGAGAGGAAAACAGAAGGAAAAAATACTTGCCCTTTACAAAGTCTGACCCTTGATTAGTACTTCTACTATGTCTTTTGCGGTTTTATTTAATGCATGAGGTATGGATAAGTCCAGGAACCTGAATATTAAAACTGAATGTCTTTTAATATCTTAATACGTCACAGTCAGCTAATATGAGAAGATTACAATCAATTGCTTTCCCTTGTTTTGTACCAGTTTCAGAGAAAAGTATTTTTCAATTCAACTAATACCTCACTCCTGCAGAAATTTTCATTCATTGTTCTCTTTGAAGAATTTGCACCTAACAATTCAAATTGACATAAATCCTTAAACATAGCTTTGACAACGTACCATTTCAACTCAAATAAAAAGAGAGAGAGGTCTGAATGTGAAGGGCCTATTTTATCCTTCATGGGCTCGGAAGGGTAAAATTTTCCCAAGTACTCAGGAGAATTGGATGTTTAGCTCATTTTGATGCTTTTGTTAATTCCATGAATACCCTGACTGTTAAGATTTCACAAAGGATATATAAGACTGGCTTTTTTTCCTAGTTCAGTATGGTACAGAATGGTAGATAACACTTTGTGATTAACAGGTACAAGCACACCCCCATATTATCTCCTTTTTATGACATTTACTTAAGTCATCATTATTTGTTATGTCTCTGTTTCTCAAAGTGTGCAGCTGACTTAGAGTTTATTTGCCTTTTTTTTTTTAGTTGGATACACAATGAATGATCTCATTTTTGAATGGCAAGAAAAGGGAGCAGTTCAAGTAGCAGAAGGTCTCACTCTGCCACAGTTTCTGTTGAAAGAAGAAAAGGATTTATGTTACTGCACCAAGCATTACAATACAGGTAGGAAAGCATATTAGTGATTAAAACTGGAAAGATATTTAACGTTTATTGTTATTTTGGAGAGTTATTGTTTTTTTTCTTTTTAAATATTCTCAATGAACTCACAGGAAGATTAAAACGTACAGGAGCATTGTGCAGGATAACGCAATCTTAAGTAACTGACACAACGAAACAAAACTACCTGAAGGCCGATCAAACTTCTGTTTCAGGAAATTTAAGAAAATACATAGTTGAAATAATTCAGAAGCAATTCAATCAGGAGTTTTATTTTTACAGTGGGTGACATGACCATATCTACACTGTGGGATCTGACCCACTGCTAAAATCCAAAGGTCCATAGGCACTAAGCACGGCATGGCCCAGTCAGGAAAAAGGGACACAGGGCTGCCAAGCCAGCTATCCCTGCCCTAGTTCTTACATCAAGGGAGCAATGCAAACAAGCTGAAAGCATCCTTAATGTACAGCAGGTTAACACTGCTAATATAGTTGTTTTATTTTTAATTGTAAAAAATTCTCTCAATAACTGGACAATCACAAGCAAAATAATCCTCAAAAAAACATGTAGCAAAGGCTAAGAATGCATAGCTTCTGTCTTCTCATGGGAAAAAACCCTAGAACTCTTTTATTGTAATCCATATCTCTTAATTTCTGGTCTCCAATATGATTCTTAATAGATTAAACATATCCTGAAATTTAAGTTAGTACTTTTTTTGGATTCTGCTGAAATGGCAGAAGGGATAAAATTCAACAGGTGACATTCATGAGGAATGTCCTGTTGCAATCAAAATTAAGGAAGAATGCTTTTCAACACTCAGTTTGATCACAGCTGCCATGGTGCCCTAAGGGAGGGAAAGGTTCTCTAATAATTTCCATTTAGAGTGGGGAGATATTGATAGTGACATTTTGAAGTGTTCCCTAAAATAAATTGGAAATACATAATATGCATTTATACTGTACAAATACTAATATCTGGCTAATCCTTAAAAACCTTCCAGAAATGGAGATAGCAGGGTATGGAATCACATAGCAGGGTAATATTTTCATTCAAACATCCCTTTGTTAATGGTAATAATGAAATTTATACTATTCTTATTTCCTTTTTACTATAATCCCTATGACAAACAAGAAAATTTTATTTTAATTATTTTTCTCTGTCTCCTTTGAGATATATAGGAAAACTCTTCTTCCTTTTCAAAAATCTCCTGCTTTTCTGCCATTTTAACATGTGCCTGTAACTGTACTTCTGTAACCTGCATAGTGATGTTAACAAATGAGAATTTGTGGTAGACAGTACCACATTTTTCCTCATTTTTCCAAAGTTCGTTTGGACAATATTATGCACCAAAAATCTCTAATTGAGGAATTAAACCATTACTGTGGTACTCAATCTGGTATTGAACACAAACCTGCTTTAAAATGTCTGAATTTCCAGTGCTTTCCAAATATCTCTCCAAACATCTCATCCAAAGTTGAATCATACTCTTACTCATTTCTCTGAGAACTTTCATTACAATCATAGTAGTTTAAACCTTTGGTTTCAACTGAAACTTCATTTTTTCAATATTTTTGAGCCTCTATCTTTTTCTTCATAACCTATGTTTCAAACCTCTTTAAGTTGTTATTAATTTTCTTCTGTGCAAAAATAGGAAAACATGCTAGGCCTAGGCATAACACACTAGGTTGCATGGGGTCAGCTTACGTCTACGGAGTTTTTCACTGTGACCCTACACCGAGCTGAGAAAGCGGGAGGAACAGGTGTTATTAACTGCATGTGAGGTCTCATGACTCTCAAAATGTGCCTGCGAGAGAAGCGTGCTTATCCTTCCTAAATGCTGTCACATTTAGGTGGGAGAAGAGGTTTAATGTCATAACTCTAGAGGACAATGTGGCCAATCATCAGTCTGTTGTATTTCTGTATTGCTTGGCAAAACTGCATTTCTGTGGTCAAACGGGTGCTCTAAAATGTGAGTGCAGCCCACAACCCTGAAAAGATGGCTGAAGTTCCTCTAATTAAAAAAAGAATTGGGCCATTTAATCCGTCCATAAGAAGTCAAGCCATTTACTAATACAGAAAACTTGGAAGCCTGGATGCAGGCACCCACCGTACACATCAGGATGGAGACTTTAAAAGAGAAGACAATTGCACAGCTGTGGGACCTGCCTATGACTGGCAGGGGCAAAAAATTGCAATGCTGAGTGGCACCAGCTGCAGGCAGAAGGGTAGGTATGTCCTCACCTGAGGAACCAGCAGAGTGGCCTGCTCTGAGTTACAGCATCAAAATTACAGGTACCAATCTGGAAGAACTTTGGCAGGGCAAACCATTGTCAGTCCGACACCAGTGCGAAGTTTACCACCTGCCCCAGTATTTGTTTCCAAACAAGCTATGTAAAGTCACTTCCTGAGCAAGAACTTATGTAGTCAGTGGCAGGGGACAGCACCAGCACACCGATATCCTCCAATATGCCACTGATATCCACAGACTGTCTTGAAAGAAAAACTGAATGGTAATACATTCCTACAGTCATTTTATGAATCTTGGCTTTAGATACAGAGACACCAGCCATATATTTTAGAACTCCTCTAGTTCTACATGCCAGGCACTCAAAAATTATCATTTGTAGTCAGGCTGCATGATCATAGATATACTTCAATGTTTTACAATGAGGAAAAGGCAAGTACTTTTATAATCAGTTTTTATCAACAAAATGTACTCAAATTGCAATTTACATTTCAGTGCAAATTGCAAAAAGTGTCTGGAAACTGCACTTACCAAGTGATTTTTTTATTACCCTGTCTCCTTCTTAGAGAGGTATGAAAATAATTTCAGCTAACTGTACTTACATATAATCAATTTTACAGACAGTCTCTTGAAATAACCAGCTTTGCACACACACACAGTTTACAGAGTGTCTTGGTTATTTAAGAAATCTTATAATGGGATGGCAAAAGGACAGAAAGTATTTAACTGCATTTCAGTAATAAGTAAAGCAGAATGCCTCTCAAATGCCTGTGTAACATTCCGGGAGAAGTAAAAAAGGGTCTTTTTACTGAACAATGTAAACTCAGCTAGACTGCTTGCCTAGTGGTGATTCTGATAATGACTCAAACAGGAGAGAAAGTAAAAGGAGCAGTACTGCCTCATGGAAAAGTCAGTTTATGTATTTCGTTCTCCTTCTTCATGCGCTCTGTGAAAATCATCTGCCATTATGATTGCAGCGTGATACATAACACGCTTTACTTTGTCTCCAAGAGAGGTTAATTGTGGTCTTATTTTAGCAGATGCAGAGCAAAAAGAAAGCACATAACAAAAGGCAGAAGGAAAGTGCTGGTGGTCTATGTCATCGCTGTTATGGCAGTACAGTTTTATTTCATTCCGAGACTCTCTGTTTTCAGCCAGTTATTTCAGAACATAAAATTGTCCTCAGAAAATTTCTTTCAATGTTAATAACTTTAAAAATAAAAAGCTTTCTATTGGTGCTTTTGGAGCTTTTTTCAGTAAGTCAGTTTATGCAAGGACACTTGAAGCCAATACCCTCACTCTCACTGAAAACAATAGCAGCCTTTGCCAGGGTGATTCCATCCTATGTACTAGATAACCTAAAACATTAAGACTTACATATGCAGGGCGCTTAATAAAAGCCTTGAATAATTACATGATGAATTATTTGGTTTCAGGACAATAGTGATCAAAACTTCATCTGTCTGGAGCTCTAACACACACATGCATAAAGGACTAGCTTTCTACTACCTAGCACACTGAAGTGTCCCAACTCAGGACGAGATGAGTGCCAGAACCAGCATTAAGGAAGGGCTGGGCAACTACAGCAAAGGGGAAGTCAATGATGGCCTGCAGTTACATCATATTAGGTTGCAACCGAACAGCAATCTAAAAGCCTCTTATGAACTATTCTCAGTGTGTGTTGTCCTGTGATAGAGATTTGTTTTGAGTAAATATTGGTCCTTTTTCCCTTCATACAAAGGTTCAGAGAGTAGACAAGAATATTCAAAGCATTGCAATGGCAACTACTCAATGAGAACCTGGCCATCCAAGAGATCCTAGCCAGATCCTTGGGCTGGCTGTATGTTGGTGATCAGTCACTGGTAAAAACAGAATTGTGTAGTCTACACCCATATTGACAGGATTTGTCAATTTGTGTTGGAATCAGAATATAAAACATCTGCTTCCCAGATCTAAGATTCATACTCTGCAGAGCTCCATAAAATTTATTCAGATTTGCTTAATGTAGTTTAGTTCTATTTTGCTAAGCTTTGAACCATTCTCTATTCAGCAAGTATAAAATTCTTATTTTAAGTAGACAGTTTAATGTAAATTCATTAAGCTATATATTCTTTAGACCACAGTCCTCTCTACATCCATAAAATATTTCTCAGTAGATCAGCTATTAGCATTGTCAATGTCTTTCTTATAAGGAAGGCCAGGCTATGACTTATTAGTGTCTAAAGTAGTATCACATCCCAGCAGCTGCAGCAGATATCTCTCCTTTCTGCATGGATTAACAGCTGAATCTCTCCACGCTTAGTTCCTTTTTTTCGTTGTTTATACATATTCATTTTTTATTTTATTATGTTATTAATTTTTAATTTCATAGTGATTTAATAATTATTATTACTCTTATATTTATTAATTATTTCTCAGGCACACTATTTCCTTGGTTGTTTCCTAAGGTGATTCTCCATTATGAAAACTTTCTATGTAGCTTCAGAAACAGCTACTCAGCCTTCCTGGGAATTGCAAACATGACCATGACATCGTAAGGGTACAGTAAGAAGATCTTTCCCCAAGGGATATCTTAAGGGTTGCTAAAAGGGGACAAATACATTTAAGTTCTACCAACTACTGCCTCTGGAGCAGTTTGAGGCAGATGAAACTGAAAAGAAGGACCCCTTTATGGCCTGAAAGCTGCTACTTAAGCTTGATTTCCCCAGTGCCTTTTAATCACATAGGCATACTGCTGCCTGCATAACTCACTGCTTAAACAGCACCTGTCACGGTCCGAGGTGGCTGTGCTGTGCAGTGTGAAGGTGTGCTAAGGTAGAAAATTGCTCTTCTCGGGTTATTCACAGTTGGCCACAGCAGAAACAACCAAGAAAAGAATATGTGACCTAGACACTGACTCCCAAGAAAAGCCACGTATACTTTCTCGGGGAAAGAAAAATCGTATAGACTGACTGGAATATACATTTTTCCACTATATATTGGCTTCAGTGTGGTCATTGCATGGAAATCATGCCAACCCAGCAGATCTGACACTGTTAGCAAAGAACGTGTGTAAGAGAGAAAAATGCACCATCACGTGCCTGTATACCAGTACGTTCACTTTATTTGCATAGGTACGGCATTCAGCAAGGCAGCACTTGGTGCCTTTATCACACTTGAATCTCTGGCTAGGCTAGACTTACAAACACAAAAAACATTACCTCTGTTTCAGGCAAAATTGCTTAACCTTTAGGAAGCCCTCAATAGCTGTTCTTTCTTTTGCATTACGAAAACCTGTCCCTTGTATGGATTGTGTGCACATCTATATTTAGCTCTGGTCTGAAACTAGCATCATGCCTAAATTTGTTCAGCAAAACCACGATACCACAAAGGTTTCATATACTCCTCCTAGCCACTCTCTGTGACATTTACAGTGCCTATCAGAATGAATGAGAGCTTACCTTTTATGTACCGCAAATGAATTATTAGAACAATGCTTTTAGCTCCTTGTCTACCTCCTTCCCCAGCTGAGATGACTTCATGGGTATGTCTCTTCTGATCCATTCAAGTATCCAGTCAAATAGATTAAACCACAGCTAACCTGGCTTTGAATTTGAAATGGAATACAGGAGAAAAATAGGGCCGACAGCTGGATGCCGGCTTCAGCTGGGAAACAACAGCACAACCTCTGCTGGCTGCCTCCTAGCTGAAGCTCACATCTGCTAGTGCAAATGGTTTTTTTCCATTCTGCTTCATTAGCCAAGTTTATGCAGGTGGTTCTGATCTCGAACACGAAGGGCAAAAAATAACATCAACCCTTCCGCACTTGGACCAGCAACTGCTGCAACTGCAGTGCCGAGACTGACTTCCAGCTGCTGCCTTTCTCCTCTGCTGTCTTCCACCGGAGAGAAAGCTGATAGTCAGCAGTGGAGTACAGAGAGAAGTGTCGATGTGGGTAGCCACCAGTCTCCCTGGGGAGTCGCCACATATTAAGTCTATTTTTCAGTGCTGCACTGGAACAGAGCAGATGAGGAACACAGTGGTCTTGACTGGGAAACTGGACATATGACTGGCATGTCCATAAATTCACTGGGCCTAAGACGAAAGCAGGAGTTAAGTCACACATTCTGTGGAGTTAAGCAGATATTTTTCCACTTTGAGACACCCTTCACTTTCTTTTTTTCAGTTTTTTTTTTTGTTTGGTTTTTTTTTTTTACCTTGGCCAGTGATGTTTACAAAAATACAAAACTAAGTAAAAAAATCATTCTGTATAATTCCTCTGACACATCACTCAGTCCTAGTTCTGGCCTCTTCATAATCCCATCTCTTTTCTCTCCTTTTCTGTGGTTACAATGTATTACATATGCACTCCTTTCATTCACAACCTCTTTCATTTTGTTAGGGTTCTGTTGTCCACAGCTATTCCTCTGTTTCTCCTTAGTTCAGAAAGCAAACTTGCAACTACATAAAAATAATCCACATCAGAGCTAATATATTATTTATTGCTCCTTGTTTAGGACCATGGTATCTTTGTGCTGAGATCTCTGTAATAATTCCAGCCCACCTGAGTACTCAGGAAAGAGACTCAGATCTTTTATCCCACCTTTCTCTGGGGAAAAAAAACAATGCACAAGTAATAGCCAACGCTCATTCACACTCCAGTTATGCATAAATGACCCATTCTGATGCTCTTAGTTTTTCTTCCTAAGTTGTTTTGAAAGAAGAATATAGGACCCTATAAGAAGAAAATGTTGCGTGTTGAACTGTAATTCTTGCTGATGTGATGCCAAATAAAATGGCTTTGCAAGAGACCTGGATTTGATTGATGCATTTCTGTCACTCCTTACCACCATGATTTATGGTGATATATGAGAGAGAGATCGCTGCTGTCCAAGGCTGCTGAATTAACAGAACAAATGTCACAAAAAAGAAACCTTCAGGGTAAGGACCAGCTTGAAGTAAGAATATGATTCTGACAAAGGCCGGTCAGAGCAGAACTAGTTATGTGGGATGTGCTGAACTGCTAAGTAACAGAATGTATCATGTAACCTTTTGAAGATCCTGGAAGAGAACATGGGGGGGGAATCCTGGCCTTTTCTAAAGTAAACACCAAAATTCTCATTCACTTTGTTAAACCAGGACTTAATTCCTTGATTGAAGCAGAAATCAGTTTTGAAGCTAGGGCAGCAGATGGTTGAGCCAGGATTTGGGACACAGATTTCAGGACTGTAGGTAGGATTCAGAAAACACCAGCAATTAGGAATGGAACTAATAACTGAACCAGCAGACATAAAATTCCTGAGATACATCATCTCATTTTAAAACTGAACATGATAACTATCATCTTTCTAAATATGTTTTTTTAGTTCCTCAGTAGAACAAAAATTTCATACAGTCACATTTACTATGACATCATAGAAAGAACAAATGGCCTATTAAGAGAACTATTATGAAAATAATGAAGTTCAGAAGATATTGCCAAGTACTTATTATGTCTAGAATAAAAACATTACAGTTTGGCTTTATCTGAAACTCATTTCTGTATGCCTAACACTATTGTCACAGCATAATACACAATATATTAAATTAGTACAGGATAAGTTCATAAATAAGTCAATTACTTCAATTTTGTTAATATAAATGTTAAAGCACTATTAATGTGCAACAATTTGCTATAAAATGGCATTTTGGCAAATAAAAATGGATTAGCAAAATATCAAAAACTACTGGAAAACATAACCAAAAAACTTCATACCACTTAAGAAATAACTAACTACATAGCTTTCCATGTTAAATTTAGAACTAGGAAATGCTTTTATTCAAATAAGAAAGAAATCTGTATATTTCTTGCTATGAGAAACTATGTCATGTGTACACTGTTTATAGTAACAGCATTGCCTTCAGCATCATTCATATGTGACTAATATAAGCATTGAGAAGAATTAGAAAACCTAATGAGACCAACTCAAGATCTTTGAAATAATCTACAGTTTTACAAATTAAAAAAACCCCACCAATCTGGATAAGAGAAAAAAATGGGTTTATGGCATCTCTATGAGCAAACAATAGATTTTTTTTATTCTGGTTTTGTTAAATTAGTGGAAGTTGCATGATATTCAGTATCTGGAAAAATTAAGCAATTTAATTAGCTTCCTTCAGTTGCCTAATCTCAAGTCCTCTATTTCTGACTGAATATCAGTCATTGTAATTTTGAGCTGGAACAGTTTGAATGGGGATAAAGGCAGAGATTTAGCAGAATCTCCTATGGATAACTCACCCAGATCTTACTATATTTTTCCCAAATTCATTGGATTAAAAACTCATAAATTTTATCTTAAAATTGAACCAAAAGATAAAGGAGATTTTGTACAATGGGAAACCAAGCCTTTTCTTTGCATACAACAGTATTTCCAAACAATATGTGGGATAACAAGTGTGATTGCAACTTTCCTATGTCATAATGATTTCTATTTCAGTCATCTCTTTGTTTTTATAAGGAAAGAAGAGTTCCAGAGCTTATCGAATTCTTAAATTTTCAGTTTTTCTGTCCACTTTCTTTCCAGTAGATACTCCTGTTATAATGGGGACTGTAGATATTAAAAATCACTGAAGAGAAATCAAAACATTCATCTTTCATTAGTTAACATATATATTTGATGGACTGCAAATTCTTTAGAGGGTGTACAAGATGTTGACAGTCAGGAACATTCTATTTCTATTGAATATTTCTTCTTTGTTATAAAAAGGAAAGTTTACATGTATTGAAGTCCGATTTCACCTTGAGAGGCAGATGGGTTACTATCTCATCCAGATGTACATACCGAGTCTCTTGATCGTCATTCTCTCCTGGGTGTCATTTTGGATCAATATGGATGCAGCTCCAGCCAGAGTGGCTTTAGGGATCACGACTGTACTGACCATGACAACACAAAGCTCAGGTTCACGAGCATCTCTTCCAAAGGTAGGCAGAATTTCCTTTGTTTGTAATGCATTAGTCATAATGCTATATGGCAAACACACACCTGCAGTCAACCTTGTAATATGTATTTTAATTATCAGCATTTAAGCATGTTCTAAAGAAGATAAATAACTTTGGAATATTTTGGGGTTTTTTGAGCCACTATATAGAATATATATATAGAGGGAATATATTCTATTTCTCTCCTGTCTCAAGTATTTAGCCAACCACGTATCTACTAAATTCCATAAACCTCAGCAAGTGATGAAAGCAATGTTATTCAGTAGTACATAAATGTGGCTTGTTAGCAATTGACTAGCTCATCCTTTTCCAGATCCCAGTATCTGATGACATGCTAGCAAATATGACTGAATTTCTAAAGGTCATAGATTCCAACCTGTTCTCAATGATATTCCTTTCCCAAAACATGCCTACATTGTGAATTAACTCACTAGTCACAAACACATTTACATGAAAATGTATAAAAATGTGAAGCTAAATAGATCTAAACAATTGTCTAAAGAATGGTTCACCACACAATTTAAGTATCTTAAAGTATATTTCTGTGATTAACTATTTAAGTTTTCTGACTTGTCATTGATTTAAAGATTTTCATTTTAAGGGTTATTCCTTGACCAATCTCATGTGCCATTGCAGTTAATAGAAAAAATGTATACAATAAAATTACACAAAGTCTACTTCTGTATTAGTTTTAACATGGTATTTTTAGGTTGGCTAATTAATTTTTTTTCTACGTAAAATAGATGCCCTTAACAGAGGTGAGTGTGCTTTGCGCCTCAAGTATATGGATTCAAATGCATCCACATGTAGCATCAACAGATAAGAAAATGGAATGCTGTAAAAATTCAGAAAAGCAAGAATGTAAGAGGTTACCAGAGAGAGCTATAGATGTTTTTGTCACATTTCTGAGGCCTGAAGCTAGCTATGTTGACTTATATGACAAAGCTCTTGTAAATCTGCACACAGAGAAGGAACAGGCACTATTTTCCTAGTTCAGATTATGTCCTGCAGCTGAGTTTGGCAATAAAGGATTGCAATGAGTTCATCTACTCTATAATTGATTTTCAGTACTTCTACTGTGTCAAAATTACAGCACTAATTTGAACCTATGTCTTTGATTTACCATGCCTATATTAGCAGCGAATGAACATATCAGAGTTCTCCATCAATCTCCCTCCTTCTACCTAATTTCTTTTCCAGGAACTTTACATCAGATCCATTACAATACAGGAATTCCCACTGGTCCCACTATAAGCTATCCTCTGGTTCCTTCATTCACAGATCTCAGTGGGACAAATGGAGGAAGAGCATATGCTTCTTGTGGATTATTTGGTTTGTGATAAAATACACAGTACACTATGAGGAACTGTTACTGATGTAAACAGTAAACAGATTTTGTGAAAAAAAAATTACAAATAATATTTAACCCTTATAGATTGAATTGCTGTGCCTCTTATTATCTAGCTATCAAGTTACATTTTGTTTGATAAAAGTAGCTTTGGGATGTGGAGATATTAATACACTTCTTTCTGACATGAAATACTAAACTTCACATCTGTGGTTTTAACATATTCAGTCTTCTGCTCTATTCTCTCCATAGGTGTCATATGTCAAAGCCATTGACATCTGGATGGCTGTGTGTCTGCTCTTTGTATTTTCTGCACTTTTGGAGTATGCAGCTGTAAACTTTGTGTCGAGGCAGCATAAAGAACTTCTGCGATTCCGCCGCAAGAGGAAGAAGAACAAGGTAAAAGTAACAGTATTCCCAACTTTGAAAGAGAGTCTGAGATTGATTTATGCCAGGATATAGGGTTAATTTGGTAAAGATACTGCAGCTTAAAGTGGCAATATAAATAAAATGGCAACCAAGAATGAAATTCACTATAGGCAGAGGGTCACTGCAAGGACTATACACTGCATAAATCCAACTTGAATTCTCGAAAGAGGGATTAAGAGGGATTTAAGTGAGACATGGGCCATGTGGGAGCCATCTGCACAGGCATGAATTTCACTCTGTTAGAAAAGTCAGATTATACTTCAGTGGATGAATGTTACTGGTACTTGCAGGAGTTTGTACTACATTGAGATTCAACAAATAATGTTTCTTAACGTCATTCTAGTATTCAGTTCAAAGCCTTAACAGCTGTGTTTCATGTAAATATTTTTTAATACAAAAAATACTTATTCAATTAATTTTATTGGTGGGAGAACAGACGTTTTACTTTAAAAGGCTGAGAAGTTTTGCTTTTTTCCTTCTGTCATGTTAATTTAGTGTAATTTGTTCATACAACTAGTAAGAAACTTTAATACAGCAATGGTGGTTAAAATTTGTTTTATAGCTGAAGCTATCTAGACTACCAGTAAAACAAGTCACTACCAATGTGCAAAGTCAAACAGCTGAGGCTACAGGTTTGAATTCTAAAGTCTGCAGTTAAATCAAGCAATAAGCAAAATTTCTTACAACAATACGTAACTGCTACTTCTAAGTAAATATTTCTCCAACCTACTCAGTAAATGAGTACCCACCACTGATATCACTCAGAGCCTTTCCAATGGCTTTCAGCCACTATCTAGAATATTAAAGTGGGTGAAAGTCTCACTGTAGCAACATGACTCAGTTCAGCTATCTTTCATTCCTGAAGATATAGCTCCATTTACTTCTTACATCACAAGGAGAGGACATTGTACAGGTTGTTTCCCATTTACTTAGAAGATATTGAAAATCTGTAATGCTGTAAAGCCTACCTAAGCAGCCTCTGCTAGCAAGACTCCATGTTAAAAGGCAGGCTGGACAGTCAAATGGAAATGGCATTTTCATACATTTGCCTGTTCCTGTTTGCTGAGTCCTAGACTTCTCTAGGTGCAGAGAGAAACTCATGTACGCCTAGACGATGATTCAGACTGCATGTACCTGCTCTCAACATTTGTCCCTGTGAAAAATGTGGTTTCTTCTTTTCGCTGACTGTAGCAGAAAAAACGCTTTCTGAGACACTCAGAAGGAAAGCAGCATTTTTGTGACAGGGTGTTTGCTTTTGAAACATGGCAGCTCTCTGAAAGCTGCTTAAAGGTTTGGAATGGGGGGGAATGGGATGGGCAGACACAGATTGCCGGACGGGGGGCAGGTGAGCCACAACAAATGCATCATGTATCAAGTACAAACAGCTGCGGTGAGTGATATATTATGTGACTATACTTTAGTCCATTCATTTTTCACCATGTATTATAGTGTCTTCTGGATCTCAGGCAAATTTACCATATTCAACTTTACTGGTATCTTTTCACTTTGTTAAATACACTCCATTATTATAACCGCAGGGTTAGAAACTGGCAGGTAATATTACCTTCCTTCCTTGGAATCAAATCAAATCTCTTGCCAGCCTCCTCTTAGCAAGACTTCAAGCTCACCAAAGACACTTCTTCAGCAATTGCAATCAATCAAATTTCAGCTTAGAGGTATGTGAGGAAGGATCCACAATATACAAAGCACTTCTAAGAGGAGACCACTTAACAAAAAAGTATTCACATGAGTAGTTTCATTGACTTAAGTGTTTTGACGGATGAGCACTTGGCATCATGGTATTTTTTAATTCACGCTTAAAAGTCCTTATTCTAATTTTATACCTCATTAGACAGTCTTCTACTTCAGCTAGGTTGCCTGCTAGGTTTTCATAAAATTAGAGGATTCGACTTAGAGACTACAGAGTCTATAGCAAAGTATCAAGTACTCCCCTTAGATTCTGAAGGACGAAGACATGCACTTCAATGCTTTTCTCCATAACATACCCAGGTGAGGGTATTAACTGTATTCGGGGATAGATGGCTTTCCCTTCCCCCCTGTATCTGTATGTTTCATCATGAGACAGGTTTCTCAGCCTAAATTTACCAAAAAAGTGCTTTGTTCCCGTGCAAGATTATAATTTTGACAAATAGACATTTTTCTGAAAAGATTATTTTAACCGAATATTTCTTGACTGACTCCAATTCTATGTAGAGCTAAAGCTCCTGGCCAGAGTTAACCTTTGAGAATACACCTCCTCAAGCTCCAGAGACAGCTCAGCTAATTGCTTCTCTTTTTCTCAATGTTTTATTAAACCATTCCTTGCCCAACAAGTATACTAGAACTTGAAACATTACAGCATGGAGATTTCATCTCTCAGAAAAAATTGGATTACATCCTAAACCCTCTGGTATACAAATAATAAATGATGTCTTATGGATTAAAGAAAGTAGCTAATAACTAGCCTTCCTTACCACAAATGTTATTATTTATTCACCACAATTTTTAACATGAAATGCAGGCCCTAGTATCATAAGTCAAATTAACTTGTGTTTCCTTCCTCTCTTGTCTTTTTCAAAGTCAGTTACTACAGCTCATGATTATAAAGTTTTGTATGTGTTTATTATCTCTTTGGACTAGATCAAAGAGCCACCGGCCCTCAGGAATTAGATTGAATTGACTTTCAAAACTACCATATATAAAGAAATGTTCATTTGACCACAAAGTCAAAAGACATGAAAAGAAGTTAGGTTAAAAGGCTGCATTTAAAATAAACTTCTGGGGCTTCCTTGGACATTAAATCTTCTTTCTTTTCAAAGTGAAAATTGCTATTCTATTCAGTACTTATGTCCAAATAGATTCGAGAAATAGAGCATTTAGGATAACTTATTAGACCTTTTCATCCTATATGCTTGCCATCTTGGGACATTTTACTAGGATCAGTTTTCCCTCCAGCTGAATTCCAACCAATGAATACAGAAATTTTTGGTACTGACATTTTATCTGCAAGGGTACAGCAAAATTCCTAGTGATTAGACTGTGTTGCAAAAGTCTAAAAATAGATGGGTTTGAAAATGTTTCATTTCAGGTATATGTTGACAGAAGAGAACGTGTATGAATAATATCTAATTGCAATAGGGCAGCTGAAGAATTCCCAAAGTCTATTTTCTTTGTAATTAAAAAGACACGCTTGTTACAAGAAATATTTACTTTTACCAAGTGACCCCAGCAATGGTCAGCTGGATTTCAGTGCTGGAAAGCCTTGGGAGGTCAACGAATCAATTTTCCTGACCTAAGTCAGGATCAGTTATACCTCATTCATTCCAGTCATAAAAATTCCACAAGCTCCCCTGCAATCTGTTCCAATGATTTAGAAAGTTTCTTACTTATGCCTTTTTTGGCCTCTCATGGCTTGTCTGGAAGAGGCACTGAGAACAGACTACTTCATTCCTTTATGTAGCCATTTGCACATTTCCATTCAGTTTTCTTTTCTTTAAATACTCTGAGTTGGTACAGTCTTTTTTTTTTTTTTTTTTTTTTTTGCTCATTCTCATTCTCCTTCACTGGAAATTCTACTAATAAGTCCACATAATTCCTCGAAACTGTGTTTGCAACATGACACCTAGCCAGTAACAGTTGAGAGCAGCCAAAGAATCACATCATGCAAGTTATACGCTTGTTTATCCAAACCAGTTTGCTATTTGCCTTTTTAATAACAGCATGGTATTGGCCCATATCAAGATTGTGACCTTCCATAACTCCCAGGTCTTTTTCCAGAACTACTGCAGAGCCGTTCACTTTCCATCTTATGTTTGTGAAGTTGATTATTCCTGGCTAAATGTAGTACCTTGTATTTGCACCTACCAACTCTCCTCCTGTATTTTTCAGACTCTGTCCAAAAATTTGAATTCAATTTTAACTCTAAACACATCCTCAAACAAATCTGCAGCTTTTCCCAGGTTGGAGTCTTCTGCAAGTTTAAGCAAAACTACAGGTCATTCCTTCTCAATGCTGATTAATAACACAGGAGAACTGGAATCTCTCTAAAAAAGCGTATGATCAAACTCAGATAAACAGATAAAAAGATTACCCTGCAGTAAACAAGTGTAACAAACAAAATAAGAGCTGCTGAGTTTTATGGAAAATTATACGGCTATACAAAATGTAATTATGTACAGAGCTGTATCAAGACATTTTCGCATCCGAAGCTCATCTATCCTTGCCATTTTCCTTATGCTTTTTCCTCCTACAGTCACTGCCTCTTTCTTACACCATCTAATACATTTGCAGCCCCCCTTCCCAGACAACAGTAACTGCAGCATCAAAGGCGATTCTTAGGTATAACTGCACCCTCTGGCTACCGTTTTTATGGTTGTAGGTATGGACCTCACTCAATGATTCCAAATAACTGAAAGGCAAATTTCCTTTCAGAGGCTAAATCCAATTTGCACAGAATTAACAAAAATTTTGAAGTGTCTGGGATTGTGTTGTAAATGTAAATAAAAACTGTTTTTGCAATGTAATATGCAACCTACTCATTGCTTTTTTTCCAATAGGCATCACAAAAGATATAGGAGATTTTTCAAAAAGGGTCTCATTTCTTTATGATTACATAAATGGCAAAATGAATCCTGAGAACTGGGCAATTTTGGTTCCCAGTTTGAGACTTCATTTGGGAGTCAGTATACGATCTCTAGTGCTTTGTCTCTGTCAAAGAAAGAAATCTGGCCAATGAACACAACTATTTCACAAATGTTATATTACTAATGTGATGGAAACATTCCTTCAGAATGAATGAATATTAATTATTCATTTGCAGTTACACTCTTTTCAGTCTTAAAAAGACAAAAGGAAAAAAATGGCAGAATTGGAAGTCATACACGGGTACTGAAACATACCTATGATCAGTGCTTTTTCTTAGTTGCATTTACACTGTACAGGGAAAAACATTAACTGTGTACATATACTGAATAACACTTTGATTCTATGTTAGCTTTTAATATATTTAGTTTTCAGGAATAGTCAATCTTTTAATTCTATTTTCAAAAATCTAAAGATCACCATATCTTTAGTGAGGAAAATAGACATGCAAACTAGATTGTCTTTAATGGTAATCACACCTCTTTTCTTTTGTTTTCTTTTTGGTCAACCCATCCGTTTTGATGAAAGTATTTTGAGGGAGTTCTTGATGGAAATGATATCAGTGAATCATTGCAGCATAGCAATGGCTTGAGATGTACAGGACCTATAGACGGGACTTTGCCTCAAATCTACAGTACAAATTTAAGGGTAAACTATGAAGAAGATGTCCCATTTGTCATAATGTGATATCCAATCATTAACAGAGGCCCTGTCCTTTTGTCTGAAATAATGTCTTCCCATGTGAACTCCATATACCTTCATTGCTACCTGTATGTGATGACGTGAAATGTTAATAAAGGTACCTGTCTTGTTAATTTTGTAATCCATTTTGATCTGTTTAAATCTGGATTAAAACATAGTATTAAAATTCTACATTCTGCCTCAAAGGAACAGTGGCATCAATTCAAGGAGAACTCAGTAACTGATCAGCATTTAAAACCAAGCTGTTTGTAGTGTAAAACAATTCAATAACACTTTGCTTCTCAAAAATTAACAGTAAAAAAAAATAGTGTTCAAATATCAAAATCAAGGCTTCAAATAAGCCTTCAAGCTGTTACTACAACCTACAGTCAAAAGGCTATATTTTCAGCCCTTACACATATTATTCCTCAAGAAAAATGTATTATTAAATATATGGATAGAAAACAGAGTAGTCATAGAGCCACAGAAACTGACAGTTAACACTTTGTAGAACAGTTAATATTTTGTAGAACAATGCGGCTGTGAAAAAAACCTAATTGAAATTATTTCCTTCAGGCCTCCAAAGAATTCTAACTTTCTAAATAAAAAATGTTATCTACATTTATTTCCTATCTTTAATTACAGTAATTTTAATAGAGATGATAAAATATTTATATGTAGCTGTATGAAGAATAACTTTCAAATTGTTAATTCCAAAGCCTTGTGTGTGAAAAGCACATTCATAGTAAACCTTTATTAAAGTTCATTCATAATAAGATTTTAAAAGCTTTATCGAAAATCAGTAAGAAATCATTCATTTTCTTTTCTTTAGTGATGGTGCACTACACAAATACACAAAAGACAAAAAAAAAAGCTTCCATATTACATTGAAAAAAAAAAAAATTCAACCAACTGGGACATAGAAGGTACTTCCATTAGATGGTTTTAACAGCTGTGGACTCAGACACGTGCATCATGAGAAATATTTCTAGTCAAAAAGAGGGACTGCAGCCAAGTCAATTGATAAAAACAAACGGGGTGTCACTGACATTTTATAAAAATGCCTTTGAAAAAGCACTCAAAAGTTAATATTAATAATGGCAGCAACTGCATCTTTCCTGCTGTGCATGAGCACCCTCAGATATGAACCTGAGGCCAAATTAACAATCTTTCTGCATTCTGAATCTGCTGGAAAACTTGCAGAACCACATTTTGGATATTCCAGCTGGTACCCCAAGTATGGTTGTACCTGGCATGTTACAATGCTCTGGAAGTTGTCCTTTCCTGCATATCCATTAGCTCTAGCACTTAGGTCTGACTTGGCAGGCTCCAACCACCCTGCCTGCCCTCATGGAGACACCATTCAAACCACACTGGGCGGAAATGCTAGACTCCTAGAAGGACCTTCACATCACTTCCTCAACAACAGGGAACGTTTCCAAGCAGCCTGCTTGCAGACTAAATTCAGGATGTCTGCAAGCCAAAACATAAGCAGAGAAGAGACCTGGCCTTTAAAACCATTCTAGGGGATCACTCAATTCAGGTAAGCATAGAACAGACAGTAGCGTTTTAGTATATAGTGCCTCATCCTGAAAACATACCCAACTGAATGCTGCTACTCAAAAGAATTATTTTATTATCTTTTTGAGCCTGTGCAGTCGTAAGCATTATTTTCTGGAGAAGCATGCAAAGATTTAAACCCTGAATTGTACGTATGAAGGTGTTTAAATGGCAAGTTTAGTGTAAATTCTCACAGTCCGTGTATTTGTGACTTCTGTTAACGGGAATAGAACACTACAACTCTTCCGGAATACAACTACTATAAAGATGTTATTTCCCATTCTTTTCTGACAGGAGAGGAACACTATAGTAGTAATTAGATCTTTATTTTATCACGTCATCAAATAATGATCCTATCATTTTGTATTTCTGTTATTCATTTCCATATTGCAGTCAGTCAGTGATTTTTTTCTCCTCCTATTCTTTCATGTTAATTTTTCGTTACTTTTTGTTTTTATAGGTGAATTGTAATACAGATTTGAAGTATAGTAGTTTCAGTGAACTATATTAGTCTATAAGTTTATTCAGTTTACACATATGAAAAAGAGTTGCAGTTGGGTGATAACTACAGCTCTCCTGGATGCTCGTGCTGATTGGCAACTAGTTCACTTCAAACTTAGTAATTGATCTGCATTCTTTTGTAGATATTTATTCAACTAATATTGGTAATAATCATCATTGGAATTTTTTTAAAGTAATTAACAATGGTTCTTCTAGCAAGTACTACTTAATGGAAACTTTAAATATTTTTAGAATTAATGCTCCATTCCAAAACATTTTCAGATTTTCCAAATGTCACAGGCATTTTCAAAATGAAAAATTTGGAAGTTTGGATTTAAATTGTGTTCATGGAAATTCTTTTCCAAAATACTTATTTAAGAAATAACATATACATAATACTTTGTCACACTTCATAAAATTCTAGAATCCTAAATCAACTAGGCTAAATTAGACATGGAAAATAGGAAATCCTGAATTTGAAATCAGTTAAAAAATTGTGAATGCCATGAAAAATCACATGACTATCCTTGAGCAAGTGAAGGAATACACTGGAATATATTCCAGAACCAAATTTGACCCTGGCTTCACAGTCTATGTATCATTTATTTGCCTGCATTTGTACCTCCTTTATTACTTGAGAATATCTATAACCAGGTAAAGAGAATATGTCTCCAGACAGAAGCCACATTCTTGAAATACATGCTATGAAAATACATATATCTTCAGACCATCTACTTCTGTTTCCATGCCATGTGATTAAAAATCACTTTCTCTTATAGCTCCCTGAATTTAGAATGTCTTTGCCAGTTCTCCCCTGAATTGACAGAAGAATGCATCAGAAGAAAAATCTGGTCTTTAGCTTTCATTCGCTTTATTTGAAACAAAGACACTTAACTCCTATTCTCTTTATCTGATGTATTCACAGGAACAGCAGAAATAAGGCATACAGATAAGTTTAACTAAATATTCAATGACCAAATAGGCAGAATTCTCACTATTATAATTAATGTGAACATTATTAGTGCTTGTGTGATAAGTATCTCTAGAGGCCAGGATCCCATTTGGTTAAGCAATGTACAGAGTTAATGGCTGTTGTCTAAAAGACCAGTGTGAAGTTTGCCTAGTTGAAGACTGTGGACATTTACTGTAAATGGGGAATATCAAAACAAATCAGAAGTTTTGTGCCTGATTACCACTTGTTTACTAAGCTTTGTCTTTAAATAGATTACAGAATCTATAAACAAATAGGAAAATTCTGTGCTTGTTAAAGCTGCTGCAATATTTTTGACAGACACTGATAGGGCTGAAATTTCAACCAGTTGAGATAAACTGTGGATTCAAGAAGTCACTGAGGTAACAGTACAATAGTTGCTATTTAGCAGTTGGTAAGATTTCTGTAATTAAAAAGAAAAATCTTCTTGCTTTTTCCTTTCTCTCTTTTTTTTTTTTTTTTTTTTTAACAGGATGATGACGTAAGGGAAAGTCAGTTTAGCTTTACAGCATATGGAATGGGCCCATGTCTTCAAGCAAAAGATGGAGTGACACAAAAAGGGCCAAATAATCCTGTCCAAGCTGCACCAAAAAGCCCTGATGAGATGAGAAAGGTATTCATTGACCGGGCCAAGAAGATAGACACGATATCCAGAGCATGTTTCCCGTTAGCCTTTCTGATTTTCAATATTTTTTACTGGGTAATTTACAAAATCATCAGGCATGAGGACATTCACCAATAACAAGATTAAGGCTTGCAGTACATACAGATCTGCTGCCGTGTTCAGCGGGAGGCTTTCTGTCAGGAACGCGCACCGGAGGAGTGATTGGGAGAGTTAAAAGCACTGACGGGGGGGAAGATCCTGCATGGCCTGCAATGCCCAGTCACAGTGGAATGGAAGACTGACACCCAGAGAAGATATATCTGCTATTGCAAACTTTCTGTGTCAAACTAAATATTAACAACTGTTTCATTGTAAATCACTCTCTACTGAAGCTTTACTGCCAAGTATTTATACATACTGTTACATAGTGGTATAATTGTACAGTACTCTTCGATGTTCCTTTTTTTTTTTTTTAATTCTGGTGTCTTTTTGATTAAAAACTGAATCCAGAATACCCTAGGTAAATCCCACAGTATTACAGAATAGATTAGTATTTGTAACCATTGTTTCAATTTTACAAAAGAATGACAAATTAAGGATTTGAGATTATAGTTTTAAGGACATTTTCTTAAGGACAGTATCTGTGCTTTTGCAATGAGCACTTTTGACATATTTAAGTTATATAATTTATTCAATTATTACCGTTCCTCTGGAAGGCGTATGTTGAAATAATCTCAGACAGCACAAGGTATCTACAGCCTAAAAAGTCTGCATATCACATGGGAAATATATTAGAATTTGTAAAGTACTGATTCCTGCAAAGGATTCTTTTTCTTTTAATTACCTACATTTTGATAATTGAAAGTTATAATAGTTTTAGTCCTTTTTATATTTTTGAAGGGGTTTTTTTCTCAATTGATAAAACTCATACAGTTTGTGAGATAGACAAACTACATCAAAATTTTGCAACACTTCATTTTGATTCAATGCAAAGAGATCTTGGACCAAAACTAAAAGCAAATAGTCAACTGCTTCACTGAAACATTTGAAGGATGAGTACAGCTGTGTTTATGCACATGTATCTCCTGCATGTTACATAAATACAGGAAGTTTAATTTATGAATATATCAATTTTTCTGTCTCATTCTTTGAAGTATATTGATATGACAGGTACTGGTTAAGAAGCACTTCACAACTTCGGAAAAACATGCAGCTCTTCTAAAACATGAAAAAGGATCTGAATGGTCTTTTACATTTATTGTACTTCACATTAATAAATGGCAGAACAACTTTTAAAACCCTTAGATTTTCCCTGTTTAGGATTAAATAAGTCATATTAGTTTCTTCTTTGAATTGTAACACAATGGACCACATTTATGGCATAGCTTGTAGGCAAGAGTGTTTATTTTGCCAATCTTGTCTATTGAAAAACAAAAACATACTAAGATATGGAAATCTGACATTTAGAATTACTAGATACTTTAAGTCCAGTAGCTGAGGCTGTTTCTCATTGCAAAATATTTTTATTTTGAATATATTTTAAATTTGTGGTTTGCTGCTGCTCAGAATGTGTATATAAAAGAAAATCAGCTGGAGGCAAATGTCTTGTCCACTGCCAAAGGCATGCTGCATATGAAGTAACAGAAGCAATGTAACTCTGCACTGAGGATTATAATATCGCAGCTTTGGGTTTGGTTGGGTTTGTGGTTTTCCTCCAAGGATTACTTAGATTCTAAAGTAGTAGCTCTCAGATTTTGTTCAGCTGTGTCAGAAAGAAGCTGTATAATCCACCTTTACTTTAAAAGTGGGGGGAGGGGGGTTTATAGTTTTGCTTCATTTATGATCTGAAATTAATTCATTTCACTTTAAACAATTATTTTTTGCTGGGGTTGTGTCTTGGTTTTGTTGATTTCCTTATGTGCATGTTCAAAAAATTCCTATTCACTTATGAAGGTGGTCATCTGTAGTGAGGGGGTATCATGAGCCAATGGCTGATATTTCAGTTGGGTTATATTAATCTCTCTCAAAGTTATCATTAGCTGTATATCATTAGCTGAAAAGGGATGTTAACTTGCTTTGGCTATCAGCAAAGTCAACGGTATTTTGTTTAAGGACTGTTTGAAGTACTGGATCCATAATCAAAAGGTAATCATAAGAAATTTCATTATCTTTCAGGGTCATCTCTCTTCTCCCTTTCTAAAATAGTTGACTTGCCTTCAATAAAGATTTCTTAATTGAAGGGATAAGTGCATAAAAAAATGCTGGCCAGATCAGAATAACTCCTTGTTACTCTAGTTTATAACACTTGAGTACCTGGTTCACATTGCCTGTTTCCCAGTCATTCAACAGTCTGTTGCTCTTGCTCATGTAGTACTACTACCTTGTTTTGAAAACGTTAAGAAATTTGAGCAATGCAGAGCTAGACAAATTTAGCCCTAATTTCTTTCTTCACTCTCTAAGGCAGGAAAGGTCTATGCTGTCAAATAGAGAAACCTGACAGGAAATCTTGGAAGTGATAAAAGAGAGATTGGATTACAACACTGGCAAAATGTAATAAGTCAGAAGGAATGTAAATTGTTAAGCAAGAAGGACAAGATCCTTCATTCACATATGAACCTATTACCTCCGTGAGGGAGGAGAACCCTTATGCCACATTTCTCTGACTAAAGTATGCTGATGTAAGGAAAAATTACATCATATAGCATGTATAAAATAAAAAGCATAAATCTACATTATAATTCTTATCTGACCTCCCTAATGGATTGTTACCTATATGTTCTATTTACAATAAATTAGATCTGTAGATTTAATGATTGGACCTAGTGCCTAGTGTTGCCTCTCTGGATGCATCTCTTCAGCCATGCACTATGGTGAGAGAGAAGAAGAGGGTCTCCGATCTGGCCAATGGAAAGTATATCCCTTCCTCTATGTAGTTATATTTCTCTTTCACAGGCCATTACACTGGGATGTTGAGCATACCCTACTTCTATACTGAAAAATTACATATAATGCTCAGTCTTCTAACAGGGCACATTGAAAATAAAGGGAATTAAATATGTTTAAAACATCATTATGAAAACTCTGCAGTGTTGCTGGTAACGAAAGTATTTCAAACAGAGGGGAAAATCAAAAAATGGTTCCATGATGATGTTTTCAAATAATATTTGGCGTGTCATTCCGCTGCCCTCAGGTAAGTAAAGATTTTCTATTTTGATGTAATGGAACCGAGATCTCTCATGAAGCGATAGTTTTCTGTTTTTTTACTGGAACCGTAACATTTGCCAAGGCAACAGAAGCCTCTGCAGTCCACTAAATAATATGCTTTTCAAAAGAAAGCAGAACTTTAAATTCCATTGAGATTATTCCTAGATGCCATAGAGTACAGTCACATGATAATGAAAGAGAGAAATGTCATTTGAGATGATGAGAAACTTCAAGGCACAAATGCCTGCTATTGACCACTGACTAGGTGAGAAGTTCGAAAAATGCCAGCAGGCATGCCAGCCCTCTGTACAAAGCTAGAATCAACAGCTACTGTCATCAGCGAAGATTAGCGTGGGAGATGATTCTTTTATAACTGTATAATGAAGTAGGAGGGAATAACATTAAGAAGATGCAAAAATTGAAAGTTACTCTGCAGTATTTATCAGATTGCAGTATTTATGCTACAGTCCTGTGAAAGAAGTAGTGGAGAGGCAGAAAAATAATCATCAAGGAAATAATGCTTGATGCAGATGCTACCTAGCAGGGCTTCTCCTACATTTAAAAAAGATCCCATTCATTCAGCTGAAGTAGATAGCTACCTTACCTCGCTACCACTGAACCTGGGCTCTGCAGAGTACAGGGTCTTAGCAAAGCCACACAAGGCAGGTTTTTGTAAGCATAACCCCTATGTGACAGGCTAACACAGCTTTGGCCCAAGTCATTATTCACCATAGGTGCAGAGTCGGGTGCTGTTCACATCATGTTTTTATGGTCTCTGTAGACCAGCCCTATACTTCAAAAATAAAATCCTGGCACTAAAAGATCATTGCAATACAATGAAAACAGAGGGAGAAACCAGGATCTGGATGAATACTCCAGTAACACAGCTACCAAAGAGCTGACGCAGTCGCCATAAAGGGGAAAGAAGGAAGCATGAGACATCCTTACTACTTTTCCCCATCCCCCAGTATCCTCTCCATAGGTACACTTGTTCAGGTAGAAGCAGTAGCTGCAGGGGGAAACAATGTATGTCAACTGCTGCGAAATATAGAAGAATATAGATATTCTCTTGGGACATTAGTTTCTACGTGTGTGGATAGAGAATTGCCTTCCACACTATCCGCTTTCTCAATGGGAAGAGAAGCAGAGCAGGAAGGTACAGGATGAAAAGCATGGGCTGTACATGGCATAAGAGGGACCACAGGGAGAGAGAAAGCCCAAGGCAGTGCCTGGAACCTCTCATATGTCTTTTCTTCCTGCACTCAGGAGAGAGATGTGACCAAATCCATGTCACCCCTCGTAAGGCCAAAAACTTCAGGACCTTGAGAGAGGATAAGAAAGGTGCAGTAGCTAATACTCAACTACCACAGTACCAAACTCCTGCTTAAATTCTGAGTAACAAAATGCATTTTATTTTTAAAACTATATTCAAATATCAACAAAATAGTCTTGCATGGTTAGAGGGCTGGCTTTTTTCTCTGCAATGCTGACAAACTAGAGGAGGCTTGAGGCAGAAAGGGAAGAAGGGATACTACTGGTTTACTATTTAGAATTTATCTATTTTAACACCAAATAAAGCACATTCTACTTTCAAGCAGTTTTGACAGCAAGCACTATTATTTAAGCAGGTTAGTGGAATTCAGGAAGAACATGGGATTTACTTATTTTTTCAGCTCAATCATATATTGGCTTCTTTGGATTCTCTTTATTAGAGTTTGTTCCAAAACCTTTTTATAGGCTGCTTTATTAAGAACCCTTTGTGATGTGTGAGAGATGATTCTGTTTAGTCATTAGAAAGACTTATATTTATGTGATTTAGATGTGCACTTTACATTTAAGGAGTAAGGTATTGCCTCCACTTTGTACTATAACCCCTTACAGAACTGTAGGTTGATAATGTAGATAAAAATAGAATATAATAAACTGTACAAAAC